GCGCCTTAAAGGGGCCGCGCGCGGCGGCTGCTGCGTGGGGGGGACGTGTGTGTGTGTGGGAACATGTGTGTGAACATGTGTGTGTGGAAATGTGTGTGTGTGAAGGTGTGTGTGAACATGTGTGTGTGGGAACATGTGTGGGAACATGTGTGTGAACATGTGTGTGTGTGAAGGTGTGTGGGAACATGTGTGTGGGAACGTGTGTGTGTGGGAACATGTGTGTGAACATGTGTGTGAACATGTGTGTGTGGGAAGGTGTGTGGGAACATGTGTGTGTGGGAACATGTGTGTGAACATGTGTGGGAACATGTGTGTGTGGAAATGTGTGGGAACATGTGTGTGTGGGAACATGTGTGTGTGTGAACGTGTGTGGGAACATGTGTGTGGGAACATGTGTGTGAACATGTGTGTGAACATGTGTGTGTGGGAACGTGTGTGGGAACATGTGTGTGTGTGAACGTGTGTGGGAACATGTGTGTGTGAACATGTGTGTGGGAACATGTGTGTGAACATGTGTGTGTGGGAACATATGTGTGTGAACATGTGTGTGTGTGAACGTGTGTGGAAACGTGTGTGTGGGAACATATGTGAGAACATGTGTGTGAGTGTGTGTGGGAACATGTGTGTGTGAACATGTGTGTACATGGAACATGTATGTATATGGGAACATGTGTGTGCGAACATGGGTGTGGGAACGTGTGTGTGGGAACATGTGTGTGCACATGTGTGAACATGTGTGTGCACGTGTTTGTGAACATGTGTGTGTGAACATGTGTGTAGAAACATGTGGGGGGAAACGTGTGTGTACATATGTGTGTGTGAGCATGTGTGTGTGCATGTGTGCCTATGTATGTGAATGTGTGTGTGAGCATGTGTGTGTGTGAGCGTGTGGGAACATGTGTGTGAGCTTGTGTGTGTGTCTGAATGTGTGTGTACATGCATACATGTGTGTGCATGTGTGTGTGCCTGTGTGAACATGTGTGTGTGAGCACGTGTATGCATGTGAGCATTGGTGTGCATGTATGAGCATGTGTGTGAACAAGTGTGTGCATGTATGAACGTGTGTGTGAACATGTGTGTGCGCATATCTGTGAGCATGTGTGCACATATGTGTGCATTTGTGTGAGCATGTGTGTGCACATATGTGTGGGAGCGTGTGTGTGCATGTATGTGCATGTGTGAACATTGTGCATGTGTGAAGTGTACATTTGTGTGCATGTATATTCATGTGTGTGAACATGTATGTGTGTGCATATGTGAACATCTGTGTGCGCATGTGTGAACATGTTTGCATGTGTGCAAACATGTGAACACGTGTGCAAATGTGTGTCTGTGTGTTTGCCTGTGTGTGAATCTGTGCTTACACATATGCGCATGTGCCTGTGTTTACATGTATGTGTGTCAGCATGTATGCACATGTGTGTGAGCATGTTTGCACGTGTGGCCATTGGTGCATGTTTGCAAACGTATTTGCAAATGCATTTGCAAATGTATTTGCATATATGTGCATGCATGTGTGCATGGGCTTGCGCACATGTGTGTTTGCATGCATGTGCATGTTAGCATGTGCGTGTCTGCACCTCTCTGCACATGTGTGTGCATGCTTGTGCGTTATGTGTGTGCATGCGCATGCACACGCGTGTGCGTGCATGCTGCAGCATGCAGGGCCACGTGTGTGCATGCAGGGCCACGTGTGTGCATGCAGGGCCACGTGTGTGCATGCAGGGCCACGCGTGTGCATGCAGGGACACGCGTGTGCACGCAGAGCACACACACATGTGTGCGCACGCCCCCCCCCCCCCCCCCCCCCCCCCCCCCCCCTCTGCTCTTCCGCAGCCTTACGGGAACTCGCGCCAGGCGGCGCGGAATTCCAGGAAAGGTCGGAGCTGCACACGGAGCCCGGGGCAGGAAAAGCCCCGCGGCCGAACCCGGCCATCCCCATCCCGGCAGCTCGCCAGGAAACAGCCGCGTGCTGGCCGGGATCCCGCTGGAGCGGGCCTGGGATCCTGCTGGAGTGGGGCCGGGATCCTGCTGGAACACTGGGATCCTGCTGGAGCATGACCGGGATTCTACTGGAGCGCCAGGATCCCATCAGAGTGGGACCAGGATCCTGCTGGAGTGGGGCTGGGATCCTGCAGCAGCGGGACCGGGATCCCATCGGGGCTCCAGGATCCTACCAGAGTGGGGCTGGGATCCCGACAGACACCGAGATCCCATTGGAGTGGGGCCGGGATCCTAATGGAGCACCGGGATCCCGCCGGAGCGGGGCCAGGATCCTGCTGGAGCACCAGGATCCCATGAGAGCGGGGCCGGGATCCCGCTGGAGCGGGACCAGGATCCTGCTGGAGCACCAGGATCGCGTCAGAATGGGGCTGGGATCCCGACGGAGCACCGGGATCCTGCTGGAGCAGGACTGGGATCGCGCTGGAGAACCAGGAGCCCACTGGAGCAGGACCAGGATCCCGCCAGGGCTCCGGGATCCCGCCGGAACACTGGGAATGGCTGCAGCAAGGCCTGTGGCTCCGGGAATGGAGGAAGCCGCGCGCTTTATTCCATATATTAAATCTTGGTCATTAAATAAATCCAGAGGAGGCTCCGGTGCTGGCTGCGCCGGCCCCCCCGGCCTGGCCTGATTCCGGCCGGGATGCTCCGCGGGAGGACGGGCAGGAGCAGGAGGGTGTCCTGGCGCTTTGGAGCGGCCTCCGGGAGCCCTGGGATGGCTCGGGAAGCACCAAAGGGGCCTGGAAAACACCAAAGGGGCCTGGAAAACACCAAAGGGGCCTGGAAAATACCACAGGCAGCTTGGAAAACACCAAAACCACCTTGGAAAGCATAATAATAATAATAATAATAATAATAATAATAATAATAATAATAATAATAATAAAGTATGGGGGGTGGGTGCGTAACCTTGGAAAACACAGAAACAGCCAAGTGGATTGGGAAAAAAAAAGCTAAAGCTCTCAGAAAACACCAAAATCCCTTGGAAAATACCGAAATGCCTTGCAAAACACCAAAATCCCTTGGAAAATCCCGAATTCCCTTGGGAAACACCAGCACACGGTGGGAAGCGGCCCTGGGCTGGCAGCAGCCTGGAGCTGCCGGGAGGCTCCGAGGGGCGGGAGCCGGGTTTCCATAGTGGGAATTGCCTGGGCGATGGATGGAGGGATGGAGGGATGGATGGAGGCATGGATGCATGGATGGATAGAGGGATGGATGGAGGGATGGATGCATGGATGGATGGAGGGATGGATACATGGATGGATGGAGGGATGGATGGATGGAAGGATGGATGCATGCATGCATGGATGGAGGGATGGATGGTGGGATGGATGCATGCATGCATGCATAGATGGATGGATGGAGGGATAGAGGGATGGAGGGATGGATAGAGGGATGGAGGGATGGATGGACGGATGGAGGGATGGAGGGAGGGAGGGATAGAGGGATGGAGGGATGGATAGAGGGATAGAGGGATGGAGGGATGGAGGGAGGGATGGATGGAGGGATAGAGGGATGGAGGGATGGATGGAGGGAGGGATAGAGGGATGGAAGGATGGAGGGATGGATGGAGGGATCTGGCAGAGCCCGGCCCGGCGCTGCCTCCGGTGCTGCCTCTGGCCTGGGATGTCTGTGGGTGAGGGCAGCCCGAGGAGGCTCTAAAAACGGGCCAGAAAAGCTGCTTTTGGGGATTTTTTTTTGCCTTTTCTCGGCCAGGGAGGAAGGCCGCGGCGGGGACCCCTCTCACTCGTCCTGCTTGGGCTTCTCCAGGGCCTGGCCGAGCTTCTTGAGCGTCTTCTTGATGCGCAGGGCGGTGAGGCGGGCAGAGGGGCTCTGGTACCAGCACTCCTTCATCACCCTCGCCAGCACCGCCAGCACCTGCGGGCAGGGGGACGTCAGGGGGACACCGTCCGCCGGCCCCTCCTGTGGCTCCCGCCGCTCCCCGTCCCGCGGGTCCCGTCCCAAAGGCGTGGCCCCGGCGGACGCACCGCGTTGGAGTAGAGGCGGTTGGGCACCACGGGGGTCTGCTGGTCCACGCACACCACCTTCCGCATGTCCTCGAAGCTGGGGTCGCTGGGCACCGCGTCAAAGAAGGGCGGCCGGTACTCCTCCACGATGCCTGCGGAGCCGCCGGAGCGGGAGGAAGAGGAGGAGGAGGAGGAAGGAGGAGGAAGGAGGTTGCAAATGATGCTCCTGCTCCTTTTCTGCCTCCTCAGGAGCAGGAGGAGGAGGAGGAGGAAGGGGGTTGCAAGTGATGCTCCTGCTCGTTTCTTGCCTCCTTGGGAGCAGGAGGAGGAGGAGGATGAGGAGGAAGGTGGTCACGAGTGATGCTCCCACTCGTTTCCTGCCTCCTCTGGAGCCCGGCGTCACCCTGGCTCCAGGCACCCACTCATGGCACCCCGGGCATCGATATTGTTCCTAGCACCAGCTCCAACAGAGCCTTCACTGCCCAGCGCCTCCTCCCGCATCCCTGATATCCCCGTCCAGATTCCACTAATCCCACTCGGGGCGTCCATGGGGTCTCACACCAGTCCCGGTACCCGTTCGCCCTGCAGGGGTTAACCCTGCCTGCGCCCAGCTAATTTGGAGGCAGGGGTCTAATCCCAGGGCAGCAGATGGGATTATCGGGAGCAGACGGCACCTCGGCGCCTCCTGCTCCACCCGGATTCAATTAACGTCTCTAACGGGCTTGGCTGGGGGGTGGGATGAGACGGAGCTGCTGGCTCTGGATCCGTGCACGGACCCGCTCTGTCCCCATGCACAGACCCCTCTCATCCCCATGCACGGACCCACTGTGTCCCCATGCATGGACCTGCTGTGTCCGCACGCACGGAGCCATCTCATCCCCATGCATGGACCCAGTATGTCCCCATGCATGGACCTGCTGTGTCCCCATGCATGGAGCCCCTGTGTCCCCATGCACGGACCCACTGTGTCCCCATGCATGGACCTGCTGTGTCCGCACGCACGGAGCCATCTCATCCCCATGCATGGACCCCTCTCATACACGTGCACGGAGCCCCTGTATCCCCATGCATGGACCTGCTATGTCCCCATGCATGGACTCACAGTGTCCCCATGCACGGAGTGGTCTCATCCCCATGCATGGAGCTGCTGTGTCCCCATGCACGGAGCCCCTCTGTCCCCATGCACGGACTCGTCTCATCCCCATGCACGGAGCCGGCACACAGATGCGCGGTGGCCGCTCCGCGCGCCGGAGGCCCCGGCTGTGGCCGCCGTCCAGGCCGCGCTCGCTGTCTAATCAGCGCCAAGCGACCCCGCCGCCGCTCGAGCTAAAGGGGCCCTTTAATCAGGGCGCCGGGTGCTGACACCAGATTGCAGTGTTTATAATTTGCAGCTAATCTGCAAGGGGCGAAGGGGAGGGAAGGGAGCGCGCGGCGCGGCAGGCGCCATTCCCGCGCTCCCGCCACCATTCCCGCCCTCCCGCGGCCATTCCTGCCCTCCCGCCGCCCTTCCCGGTGCTCACCGTTGACGGCCGTGCGCCGGGCGATCTCCCAGAGCACCAGCCCGTAGGCCCAGATGTCCGTCTTCTTGTAGGACTCGAAGCAGTCGGTGCGGATCTGCTCGCTCAGCACCTCGGGGGCCATGTAGCGCTTGGTGCCCACACGGGGGTTGTGGCCCATGTCCAGGTAGTCGCTGCCCTGCGAGTGCATGACGGCCAGCCCTGCGGGGTGGCCACCGCGTCACACCGGTGGCCACCGGCATGCGGCGTCCCCGGGCGTCCCGCGGCTCACCCAGGTCGGCGATGCAGCACTGCTGGTTGCTCTTCACCAGGATGTTCCTGCTCTTGAGGTCGCGGTGGGCGATGGCGGGCTTGCCCTGCGTGCCAAAGATCTCCACGTGCAGGTGCACGAGGCCGCAGATGATGGAGGAGGCGAGCGCCAGGCAGGCGGCGCTGTCGAGCGCCGTGCGCTGCAGGTAGTCGTAGAGGGAGCCGTGCTCGTGGTAGTGGGTGATGAGCCAGAGCTGCGTGCTGGAGTTCCTTGACGTCATGTCCGAGGCGATGAAGCCTGGGGCGGAGAGAGCCGTGAGGAGCGGGCAGGCCCCATGCCCGTGTCCATTTGTCCCTGTGTCCCCATGTCCCTGTGTCCCCGTGTGCCTGTGTCCCCACAACCCTGTGTCCCCATGTCCTCACGTCCAAGTGTCCCTGCATCCCCATGTCCTCATGTCCCTGCGTCCCTGTGTTCCCGTGTCCCCGCATCCCCACGTCCCTGCATCCCCACATTCCCATGTCCCTGTGTCCCCCCGTCCCTATAACCCTGTTTCCCCTCATCCCCGTGTCCCCACATCCCTGTGTCCCCCGTCCCTGTATCCCTGCGTCCCTGTGTCCCCACATCCCCGTGTCCCTAGGTCCCCATGTCCCTGTATCCCCGAGTCCCCGTGTCCCCACATCGCCGTGTCCCCACGTCCCTGTGTCTCCGCATCCCCATGTTCCCATGTCCCCACGTCCCCGTGTCCCCACATCCCCGTGTCCCCACATCCCTGTGTCCCCACATCCCCGTGTCCCCGTGTCCCCACGTCCCTGTAGCCCGCGTCTCTGCGTCCCCGTGTCCGCATGTCCCCACATCCCCACTTCCCCGTGTCCCCGCGTCCCCGCCGCGTGGCGCTCACCCAGGATGTTGTCGTGCCGCAGCAGCACCGTGTTGTAGATCTCCGTCTCGCGGAACCACGACTGCTCGTCCCGCGAGGAGAAGATCTTCACGGCCACGCTCTCACCGTGCCACACGCCGCGCCACACCTCGCCATAGCGCCCTTTGCCTGGCGGGGGGGACATCCAGGGGACACTGGCATCCATTGGCACCCATCCCCACCAGCGCCAGCTCCCACGGGAATCACAAGGCGCCCGGCACGCTCCGTTGGCCTCGGCCAACAGCGTTGGGTCCCAACGAGCCTCTTGGCTCAGGTCTTGCAGTCAGGTCTTGCTGCAGCCACAGGAGCCCAGTACGGGCAACCAACTTGGGACACCAGGTAGCCACGGGGACACGCCGGGTCCCCACTCACCCACACACTCCACGAGCGCGATCTGCCGGGCCACCGTGCGCTGCACGAGGAAGGGCAGCCCCGAGCCGCTGCCCGTGGTGCAGTCGTCGTTGAGCAGGTCCTGCCAAACGGGGCCGCATGAGGCGGGCCGGGATCCCCTGGGGGGCACCCACCCGGCCGCTCGCCCACCTCCAGGGTGCTGTCGCCGACCAGGGAGGCCTTGAGCGCGAGGTCGGCGTCGCCGGCGCGGCTGCGCGCTGCCGAGCGGCGGTGCTGCGCCAGCTTGCAGGCGAAGAGCGCCGCGAGCGCCGCGAGGAGCGCCAGAGCCAGCAGCGGCACCACGATGGGCAGGAGCAGCCGCGGCAGCGCCGGCTCCGCAGCCGGCACCTCCTCGCCTGCCGGGGGGGGGAAAAACTGGCTAGGAGGGCGTGGAAGTGGGAGCAAAGCTGCCCCGAGGCACGCGGGATGTGCATAGGATGTATGCGGGATGTGTGTGGGATGCATGCAGGATGTGCACGGGATGCACATGGGATGCGCATGGGATATGTGCAGGATGTGCACAGGATGCACACGGGATGTGCATGGATTGCATGTGCGATGCACATGCGATGTGCGTGGGATGCACATGGGATGTGTGGGGGACACATGCAGGATGTGCACAGGATGCACATGGGATGTGCATGCGATACATGTGGGATGCACGTGGGATGTGCATGGGATGTGTGGGGGACATGCAGGATGTGCACAGGATGCACATGGGATGTGCATGGGATGCACGTGGAATGTGTGAGGGACACATGCAGGATGTGCACAGGATGCACACGGGATGTATGCAGGATGTGCACAAGATGCATGTGAGACGGGAATGGGATGCACACAGGATGTGTGTGGGATGCGCATGGGATGCATGCAAGATGTGCACAGTACGCACATGGGATGTGTGCAGGATATGGGATGGAGTGTGCATGGGATGCACACGGGATGCACACGGGAAGTGTGCAGGATGTGCACAAGTAGCACAGGGGATGTGCATGGGATGCCCATGGGATCCACAGAGGATGCATGCAGGATGTGCACAAGATGCACAGGGGATGCACACGGGATACCCACGGGATGCACAGGGAATGCATGCGGGATGTGCACAAGATGCACATGGGATGCACATGGGATCCACAGAGGATGCATGCAGGATGTGCACAAGATGCACAGGGGATGCACAWGGGATACCCACGGGATGCACAGGGAATGCATGCGGGATGTGCACAAGATGCACATGGGATGCACATGGGATCCACAGAGGATGCATGCAGGATGTGCACAAGATGCACAGGGGATGCACAWGGGATACCCACGGGATGCACAGGGAATGCATGCGGGATGTGCACAAGATGCACATGGGATGCACATGGGACGCACACGGGATGTACAGACAATGCATGCGGGATGTGCTCAGGATGCACAGGGGATGCACACGGGATGTGCACAGGATGCACAGGGGATGCACATGGGACGCACACGGGATGCACAGGGGATGTGTGCAGGATTGCACAAGACGCACACGAGATGCACACGGGATGCCCACGGGATGCCCAGAGCACGCATGCAGGATGTGCACAGGATGCCCAGGGGCCGCACGCGGGCACACGCAGCCCCGCCGCACCTTGCAGGTAGACGTCGAGGCGGGCGTTGCACATGCTGGCGTTGCAGCAGCGCGTGCCGAAGTGCTCCATGACGGGCCCGCGGCAGTTCTCCAGCAGGTGCCGGGAGAAGCAGCCGCGGCTGCGCGTCACGTGGCCCTGCTCCCGGCTCTTGCTCACGAAGCACACCTTGCCTGCGCACGTGGACGCGGTGCAGTGCGGCACGTCGCAGGCGCACAGCAGCTCGGCCCCGCGCGCTGCCCGCCGCAGCGGCCTCATGCCTGCAGTTTTGGGTGGAAATGATGCTTTTCCCAGGCTCTGCGGCAGTCTGGAGCCCCAGAACCAAGCGGGAATGCGTTGGACCCCACCGCAGCACCCTGCACCAGGCTCTTTTTCCACCCTTTTTTGCTACTCACCAGTGGCCAAGCTCAGCGAAAGGCTCATTGCTGCCAGCAGCACCAGCGGGGCGCCTCCGTGGGACATTTTCCTGTGGAAAAGGGACACGGCGGGGGCTCAGCCGCTGCGGGGACCCCCAGCTGGGTCCCCTAACGTCCCGGTGGGAGGAAGCAGGAGTGTCCGGCGCGAGCGGCCGAGCGGGAAGCGCGAGGTAGGACGCGCTCCCTCCGAGGGGAATTCGGCTCCGGACGCCCAGGTCGCCACCCCTTCCTGAGCGCCCTTCCCCGGCATCGCTTCGGCTCCAGGGTCCCCCCTTATTCCCGGGGATTATCCCGGGGATCGCTTCCAGCCGCATGCCAAAAACGCAGCCTCTGCGGCTCGGGAGCGGCCACGAGCCCAAATTCCCAAATTGGGGATTTTTGTTTGAGGTTTTCGACGACCTAAGCAGAGTCGCTGCAGACAGCTCAGAGCTCCCCAGCCGCTCCTTTGGGGAAAGTTTTGCTGCTTTGGAGTCGGGGCTTTTGGGCCGGTTGGTCTTTGCGGGTTTTTAATGCAGCGCGGAAGCGTGTGCCGATGCAAACGGGATCCCTCGGCGCCCCCCGCGCCTCCCGGTCCCCGTTCGCAGCGCCCGGCCCCGGCGCGGGCTCCGTCGCCCGGCGGTTCTGGCGTAAACAAGGCAAAGGCTCCGTTTCCTGCAATTCAAGGAGCCCTGCCCGTGGCGGCCCCGGCAGGAATCAAGATTGTTTAGATTCTGGCCTTGATGGGGAAATGCAGTCACGCAAGCCCCGGCTTTATAAATATTATAAATATTATAAATATTATAAATATTATAAATATTATAAATATTATAAATATTATAAATATTATAAATATTATAAATATTATAAATATTATAAATATACATATGCCTATCTGCCCTGAACAGGCTGCAGTGGTGGCACTCTGCAAAACGGATCTTTCCTCCCCAAAATAGCCAGCTTTGTTGCTGCTGGCACATAGGAAGCCCCTGAAGCTTCCCCGTTTCTTTTCCAAAGCTGGAAAAGAGCCGCTTTGCAGTGCTCCTGGGCACGATTTCTCCTCCTGTTTTTAGCCCTGCAATTAGGAGGGCTGCGAAACGCATCTTTTCAGATGGAAGCGGAGACTCCCATGGAGCAAATTCCCTTTTGGAGAGGGAACTTGCTGTAAAAGGCAATGGAGAAAAGCCTGTCCCAGGAGAAGCCGGCAGGATTTGTGCTGTTAAGGGTAATGCAACCAGGCCCTCCTCCCAAATACTGCAATATCGAGGGCAAAACCGCTCGGTTTGTTCCTGTCCAGCAAAATTAAATCTTAATCCAGGTGTTTCTGACACGGGGTGAGGGAGCAGCTCTCCAAGCCCCTCCGCAGAGAGCCTTCCTCCCCTCCTCCTTCCTCATCCCGTTGCTCACGTCCGAGTTGCACCATCCAGACATTCCTCATGGAATGAGAAGACCCAGGAGGGGCGACGCTGGGAAGCGGCCGCTGCTTTGCATGTCTTTCGTCCTCAAGGATTCACGGCAGCAATAGGGAGCAATAGGGAGCGATAGGGAGCGAATAAAACCCCACCGAGACACCTTATCTTGCAGGGAGGGCTTAGACAGGACAGGGCGCACACGCAAGCACCTCCGGACGGCTTCGACCGGAGCATTTCAGTGTCTCCCGCTTGGAAACAACTGGGAAGAGCAGAAACCGCATCGCGCGGCGCTGCCAGAAGCGCCTTGAGCAAGAGTTGGCCCTGGGGAAGAGGCGGTGGCCGTGACGCGGGGCGATGCTGGGGCTCCTTCTGCGCACGGGTGAAGCTGGGAGAGCTCCGCGGGCTTCCCGGGAAGCGTCGCTCCGGGCGCCCGGCTGCGGTGGCCGCTCTGCCTTCCGAGGGCTCTGCAATGCCAGCCCTTCCTGCGCGGCTGCGGCTGCCACGGGGAGGTTTCCTAAGCACAGGCTGCAGCTCGGGGCTCCGTTCCCCCTTCCCTGCTCTTTGGAGCGGCTGCTGCAGAGACCCTCGCGCTGATCCGTTGCATCCGGAGCGCTCGGGAGCCGCAGCTCCCACCTTCCCATCGCGCAGCGGAGGGGAGCCCCTTCCTGCCCCTGTAACAGCCCCCGCACGGCAGCAAGACCCTCTGAGGTGCCCAAAGCAGCTCAGGCTTTCCAATTTGCTGGAGAAATGGGAAAACCAGGCTCTTCTTCCATGCATCTGCTTATTTGGGGATGGGAAAGGAGGGCTGCGATGGGCTGGCCCTTCCGTAACGCCTGTGCAAGCCTTGATGCTTAGAAGGGTCCTTGTTAGAAGGGTCCCTGGAGCACGTCCCAGAGCCCCCAGGCTGCACAAAGCAGGGTAAATCCTAGGCACTTTGCTCTGCAAACGGAGCCTTTCCTCCAGCAGCAGCCCCTGCGCTGACCTGGCAGCCCTGGAGCTGCCTCCGTATCCGCAAGATCTCATGAGCTTCCCAAGCTGGTGCAGGCTCCCCGCAGCGACGCGGCTCATTTCTACCCCAGAAAGGCGCCCGGGCTGCTCCGCTTATTCCAGCTGCACGTTCTGCTTTTCTAGCAAACGGCTGCACATTCTGTAAAGATTTTTCCATTCTGTCTCCCTTCCTGATAGGGCTGATCTTGCCCAGAGCCCCCTCCAGCTTAGCACAAGGGTCTCCACCGGTAGCTTCCCCCATTGGGCAAATACGACCATTTTTCCCTAGTCCTTGCTCTCAATCTGACTCCCGATAGCTTTTACCCTTTGGGGATACACCTTCCAAAAGACCTTTCTGAAAAACAGCACAAATCGCTGGGTTTTAGCTCTTCATTATCCATTCCTTTCTAGAAAGTATGGGAGCGAAATGGAGTTTTGCTTTGCAGAAACCCTGTTGTGCTGAGATATCCTGTCACGTCGCTGCCTTCATTTCGCTGTCGTCCCAAGTTATTAGTAGGATTTTGAACTCATTTTAGCTCATGCCTTTTAAAAAAAAACACTTTTTTTCACTCTTTTCCGTCTCCCTGCTCTTGTTAGAAGCCCTATACTATTTCAGCTCTTTAATGAGGATCTGGGGACAGATCCTGCTATCGGCCCTCTGGGTCTCAATCCACATTTACGTTATTTATTGGTTTTGCCAAAGTCTGGATTTCTCCATGATGCTAAAATAAATCTGTGTCCTGACGGCACAATGGAAATAGGGCTAACTTCTCATCTCAGCTACTCTAGTGCAAATTGAGAGCAAAACCCGCTGATTTTGATCCTGTTCCTCCAGTTCAGGATTCCTTTATCCAAGGCCAGACCCTCACCCAAACCCAGCAGCAAATAACCCTTGTGGATGGCAGCGGATCTGACTTTCAAATGGTGAAAATGTTGCGGGAATGAAAGGAGGACCCCGAGGACCAGCCTGTTCTGGCGAATAGTGAGAGCGCCAGGGCAGAGGCAGGGCCTGGAAGGGGACCCGACCACAAGCTCCATCCTCAGCTGCTCTAAGCTCGCAACAGTCTGACTTCCATTTGCCATTTCCATTTCCATTTGCCATTTCCAATTCCAATTCCTTTTCTAATTTCCATTTCCATTTCCAATTCCATTCCCATTTCCATTTTGCATTTGCATTTCCCATTTCCATTTCCAATTCCATTTCCAATTCCGTTTCCAATTCCATTTCCCATTTCCATTTTGCATTTCCATTTCCATTTCCAATTCCAATTCCTTTTCCAATTTCCAATTTCCATCTCCATTTCCATTTTCAATTTCTATTTTCCATTTCCATTTCGCATTTCCAATTCCAATTCCATTTCCAATTCCGTTTCCCATTTCCAATTCCCATTCCATTTCCATTTTCCATTCCCATTTTCCAATTCCATTTCCCCTTTCCATTTCCCATTCCATTTCCATTTCCCATTTCCAATTCCACTTCCGGACCTGCACCGAGCTCCCTGCTCCCCGCTTTCCACCCAGCCTCGTGAGCACCCGGAGCGGCGATGCCCGACTCACCTACCGCCCTGCCCCTTGCCGGGGCAGCATGAGCCGCAGACGGCGGGTCCCGGGGAGCCCCGGTTCCGCTCCCTCCTCCTCCTCGTGGTTCCAGGCGCTGCTTCCCGCTGCCTTCGCCCCGGGCCGGGCGCCGGGACGCGGCTCAGCCGGGGCCGCTCTCGGCCACGCCGTGCGCCCCGGCCCGGAGCAGCTTCATGGGGCCGCTCCTGTCCCCGGCCACGGCGCTCCGCGGCAAAGCCCGGCCGCGGCGGCTCCGGTCCCGGGGCGGCGACGCTCCCTTCCCAAGCCGGGGGCTCCGAACGCAGCGGTTTGGCAAGCGCCCCGCGCTCGGGATGTGGGAGAAGGCAGAAAAATGTCTCTTATTACTGCCTCTTCCTGCCTGGCTTTTCTCCACCACTCCCAGCTAATAAAGCATTTCCTATTGCTGAGCACACATCCACGTCCAGCCTCCCTTCCTCCCGCGCGCACCGGGCCCCAGCTCCATCCTGGTTGCTCTCCCTCGTGCCCTTCTTCCCGCCCTGGCCTTCGCCGGGGGCTTTCTCTCAGTTTCCCAGCTCTGCAATGGAATGAACCAGCACTTGAGGCTCTTGTAGACAAGGGAGCACCCATCACGTCCCCTCCGTGAGCACCCAAAGGCCCCCTGACGCAGTTGGCTGCTTTGCTTGTACCTGATCCAAAGCGCCGCGAGACTCGGTGCCACCTCAGGGTGCGCTGCCAACCCGAGCTGGACGCGGGGACGGGAGGGAAGGGGCTTTGGACTGGGGTCCTGCAGCTAACGTGACACTGGGGGGTGCTGTTGATGGCAAGAGAGGTCCTGTCCATGCAGGATGACCACCAGGAGCAGAGCTGGGCTGATATGGATGAGAGTGGCTTGATAGGTGTCCCCTATAGGGTGCATCCTCCGCGGGGCAGGGGCAGCTCCCCGCTGTCCCCTGCTGCGGACGCTGCAGCCTCGTCCCCGAGACCACGCAGTCTTGTCTTAGGCAGCGTGGGGACATCAACCCCGGCGCCGTTCCCACGGCGGGAGGATGGGGCGCTTCCTGCTGGCCCCGCGGCTCCTTGCCGGGGACACCACGTGTGGCCAGCGCAGGCTTGGGCGAGCGGAAGCGCCGCTTCCCCTTTTGCCATTTGCCACTCATCCTTTTGGCCACTGCAGATCCAGCTGCTCCCGTGCTGCTTCCAGCCCCCCTCTTCTTCCTCTGATATGGTGCCAGAGCCTTCATCCAGGCTCCTGCCTCTCTCCCGGGTGCTTCTTCCTGCAACCTCCACCAGCTTTTTGGGGGTGGTGGGAGAAGGGAGCCAGCCACCCTCGAGGGCTGCTGCATCCTCTTTCCTAACGAGGTTACGGGGCTGCATTTGCTGCCTATTTCCTCCCTTCATCACCCCAGACCCGCCCTGTGGCTGGGACAGCTTGGCTGCTTCTCACCCAGCAAAGCAGCAACGAGCAGCAGCACGTGCACTTTGGAGGTCCTGCGCATTCCCATCCCGCCAACACCTGGCAGATCGGCTCCGATCTACGAAATCAAACCAACAAAGAGCCGCCCAAACCCAAAAGGGAACAGGAGAGACCTTCATCTGCAGCCTCGGCTGTGGGAGACTCCTATTTACTGCGAGATTCCTGTCCCCTCGCAAGCTCGGGGCGGGGGCGGAAGGAATTTTGGCGGAGCCGGGGGCCGCGCATGGGAAACGGGCAGTTTCCATCAGATCGGAGCCGCTGTGCCGACCCGGAGGAAGCGGACGCTTTATCGCCCTGACCATCTTGACTCGGCTGCGCGGACCTCGGCCCCGCGCCTGGCCGGCGGCTCCTCCCAGAGCTATTCCTGGATGGCTCCGGGGCCATGGATACCCCAGGCTGCAAGAATCCCCGGATTTTCTTCCCTAGTTTCTTTTCTTTCCCCTGATCTTTCCCTTTCCCTCCCGTTTTCTTTCCTCCCGTGCAAAGCCCTGGGGTTGTCCCTGCGCATCCTCATCCAAACATGGCTCCGGGTGCCTTGGGGGCATCGGGGAGGCCAGAGCAGCAGGATGGGGGTGGATGGAGGCCGGCACTCTGGGCCGGACCAGCAAGGGGGTGCAAAGAGGGAGGAGGAGGAGGAAGGGCAGGGCAGCTCTAGCTCAAGTCTTTGCGACCACAGCCAAGAATTTCCGTGGCCAAAGGCTCCCTCTGGCGTGCAGCGGGAGGCGGGTGCCCGTACCCTGCTCAGCCCCTGCTCCGTGGTCGCAGTTAGCCGAATCTCCCCGCAAACGGGAGCTGTCCTCGGGGCCAGACAGGAGCGAGGGTGCTGGAGCTCCTTTCCTCCCTGCCGTGGGTGCAATCGGGTCCTTTTGTCACCTAAAATAACCTTCCCCCCCACCCTGTACAGGCTGCATGGGGGCAGCTAGGAGATAACCCAATGCTTGGCAGTGGGACCTGGGCTGGGGGGAGCCACCAGGCCACAGCGTTGCCCCATGGGGACCCTCCAATGGCCCCCCAGGGCCTCAGACCCTCCATGCTCCATAGGGAGCTGTCATGAGTCTCCTGGCACCAGGGGATGATTCCTATGGGGACAACCTCCCTCGGCCAAGGAGATTTGGAGGGGCCTGTTGTCCTCCTTCCCCTCAAGCCTCTCCAGTGAAGGTCTCCATGTCTTCTCCATGGAGATGGCCATGGCTAGCCCTGGTCCCCCGTGCTGGAAGGGAGCCAGTGTGTGTGGCCAGAGATGAGGCCAGCAAGACCCTCCTATTTCCAGCTTATTCCTAAAAATAGGAAGCCCAAGTGGCTTCTCAGGGCTGATATCCACCCTCCACAAGGTGGGAAGCGAGATGCTTCCCACAAAGCGGGAGCCAGCACGCCGAGCAAGCCCAAGGTTTATTGGTGAAATCCATGCTGTTAACATGGCAACCGCTTCCATTTCAGTTTAGCTCCATCCCCGCCTGCAAGATCAAAATCTCAGTAAGATCAAAGAGGCAAAACACAGGAAGGAAACCCACCCCTTTGGCTCGAGAGCTGCCCTCTTCCTCTGTGTGCCCTCAGCGGCGGCACCAGCACGGTGCCGGCGAGCAAAGCTCTGTCCCTGGAAAGCGGGACCGAGGTCAACCTGCCTCTACCGCAGTGACACAGGAGACAGTGCGCTGTCCTCGACGGTTCCCCTCTCCCAGGCCAGCATTCCCAGCCTCCTGGCTGTGGTTCTGCTGTCCACATGGATTTTTAACCTCTGGAGCTCACAGACCAGGAGTTCTTTGCAGCACATGGAGCCTCAAGACCCAAACTTGAGGTGCACGGGCACCACTTGGGCTTTGGAAGCACTTTGAAGCCCAACGGTAACTGCAGGCAAAGGGTTGTCACCCTGGAGACAAGAGGGACCAGGAGCCTGGGCAGGATGTTGGAGATGCAGGGCCACAGAGGGAGCTCAGGTTGCTTAGGCTGGTTACGCATGTGCAGTGTCCACCCACGTCCTTGCTCTGAGGACATGCCCAGCTGCAAAGGAAATGTCCTCTTGGCTGTCAAACAGCAGAATGAAGCGAGCAGGTCCACGGGGATGCTGATCTGACACTGCTTCGCCCTGGCACCTCAGCGCTCCTCTTAGGGCTTCTTCTTCCCTTTCTTCTTCTTCCCACCCGCTGCTTCCTCAGCCGCTCTCTTCTCCTCCTTGAGCTCCTTGTACCGCCACTTGGGTGGCTCCAGCAGGTTCTTGTCCCTGGAGCGATGCCGCCTCTCCTTGCGCGCGGGCGGCGAGGACGGCTTGCTCAGTTTGATCTGGGGGATTTGCTCCCCAGGGAAGACGCTGTTCCTCCAGAGCAGCCGCCAGGGCAGGAAGCTCCGGAGGCCGGTGACGGGGCGATAGGTTGACATCAACCTGATCTCCGACACCGCTTGGCCGTCGCAGGAGGATCCCCCGGCGCTGGAGCATGAGCTGGTTTCTTCCTCGGGCTCCTGGTCCGCTGGGTATTCCTTGAGGATCTCCGGCACGGAGAGCCTGCGCTTCCCAACTTCTGGAGGGCTGTCGGGGCAGATGGTTTGGCAAGCGGTGGCCACAAAGGGGCTGGCGAGGCAGGTGGTCATCCTGACCATGTGGTCCATCACGCCATCCTCCCTGGGGTCGTGCGGGATGCGGAAGGTGAACGCGGAGCGGATCTTCTCAGCCAGCCGCTCGCCTCTGGATTTGGGGCTCAGCGCCTTGGCCACCAGCTCGGCCAGCGCCGGCCACTGCGGCAGGTAGCGGCTGCTGAACTGCTCCGCGCGCGGGCGCCGCAGGAGGCTCCGGATCCGCACGCTGGTCTCGAAGCGCCCCGTGAACGCCGCCCAGTCCCGGGCCGTCTTCCCCTTGACGTGGTCCACCGCCTGCAGGTCCGCTCCTGGGAAAAACCGGGACGCAAAGAGACGTCACCGACCATCCCTGAGCACCCCGGGGAGCAGCCATGCAACACACGGCAACGCAAAGCAAGCAAAGCCACGGGGTTTTTAAGCCTGGCTTAAATTTAAGCCTGGCTTAAATTTCTTTTAATTTTAAAAAGCCAAAGTTTTAAGCCCAGCCTTTGAGGGGAAGCGACCGGCAGGTGTCAGCCGTGGCCCAGGACTCCTGGCCTTGGCTCCGAGGGGACAGGTTGGCTCTCAGCTCTGCAAGACCAAAGCCACAGCCAAGACCAACCATGCACAGCGAGTCGCTGGGTAGGAACAGAGCCCTCAAGCCCACTTAAACCTCACTGCAAGAGGGCACCCGTACAAAACCCCCGCCTTTTTCCACAAATGCATTGCTCCAAATCTTGCGAAAATCCACATAAAGACAGCTGCCGTATGTAAATATAAAATATAAACGAGGGAGGAGGCACGCCAAGATGTCCAAATAACAAACAGCTCCATTTAGGAGGATGTTTCCGCCTGCAAAACCTGTATCTTACCCCCAAATCCCTTGAGTTTTACCCAGAACGGACTCACCGGCCAGGAGCAGGGCTGTCACGCAGTCCTTCCTCCCCTGCACCGCAGCCTTCATCAGGGCGGTGAGGCCACGGAAATCTCGCTTGTCAACCTCCAGAGCCGGGTAGTAGTTCAGCAGGTAGTTGACTATTGTGATATGTCCTTAGCGAGCAGAGAGAAGTCGCATTAAAAGCCTGACAGTCCACAAGAGATAACTGCTTAATATCTGCTTATAAAAGGAATATTTAGCAATTGTGTTTGGTGAAGACAAAAGCGCAGTCACTTGCAGGGACCTGGACTTAAAGGTGCAGTTTTTCAGAAGCCTACGTAGTGAAATGTGGAGAACGTTGTCACGTCACCAGCTGCTTTGAGCAGATAAAACGGGAAATAACCCAACAATGCAAAAATCACCAATTCCAACAGCTACAGAGAACGCGGGAATAAAATGTGACCCCACTTTAAGATCCTATTTTTCTTCCCTCCGGGGTTCATCAACAAGGGCTTGTGCCAAAGGGAGCAGCATTATTGTGCTGTAAGGAGAAAGGGACATAAAACTGGTAGAAGATTCAGTCCCTAAACGTGAGATTTGTCAGCTCAGGCCTTTTGCTGATGGAAATCACTGCAGCTCATTCGGCTGGACTGGAGAGCGGTGGGATTAGCTGAGCTGAGGGCCTGGCTCCATCGCCACCTCTACCGCTAGAAACAATTAATCAGGCAGGACAAATTGCAGGACGTTTTTGTGGGAACCTCCACTTTTGCATAACCTAGCTGCTTTTGAAGCCGTGCTGATCTGAGCCAAGGGCTTGGATGGGACGGGACCCTTGAAGCCTCCGTTTTTTAGGGACCTTGGAGGGGAAACAGAGGGAGTTGCGTCCCGCGTGGGGAAGGCTCCGGGCGCAGCGCGGTGCCGACCTGCTTGGGCTGCCACCATCAGCGCGGTGTTGCCGTCGTTGTCCTGGTGGTTGACGTTTACGTAGGGGCATTTTTGCAGCAGAGGCACGATGTCCACAAAGCCCTGGTAGCAGGCGACCATGAGCCCGTTCTGGAGAGGAAGCGGCACCAAGGCCAAGGCTGTGGGCACCCGGCGCTCGCCGCCGCGATGCTCCCCATGGCCCTGCCCTTCTCCCAGCCCCACGTGGTGGCTCCCGCGGAACCCTTCCGAGTCTTCCATTCCCAAACTGGGATGGGAAAGCAGCTGATAACATGAGCAAAGTGACATCTGCGTCTGCTCAGAGGCCTGGGGCAGAGCCAGGACACCCTGGGACGGCTCCGCTCGCCGCCCCCTCGGCTCCGCCGCTTCCCCTGCTCAACCCAGGGTCCTGCTGGAGCCGCTGCGGAATTCGCCCGTCCTCGGGAAACCTTGTTCCAGCAAGGACCATCCTGTCCATCCTGCCCATCACTCACCTCCCATTCCTGCCCGTCACTCACCCTGCCGTTGACGTCCAGCTCCGTGGCCTCGTGCCGGCTCACGCCCCGCTCCAGCTTCTCACGCAGCAAGCGGGCATCGTTGTGGAGGCAGCACTGGTAGAGGCTGAGGCCCTCGCTGCCGCCCGGCCTCCCCGCGAGCTCGTAGCAGGGGTACACGGAGTCATCGGAGAAGATGCTGCCGGTGTCGGAGCCCTCGCGCCCCGCGCTCCACTCCTCCTCCTCCTCCTCCTCATAGTGCAGCTCCGGATCGGAGGCAGCGAGGTCGGCAGCTTCTTCTCTCCCAGCACATTCCTCTGTCATCCAGCTCGTTCCGGGGGAGCAAGGCCAGTGTGACCCGGGGCCCACGTCCCCACGGCGCTGCTGTCACTGCTGTCCCCGTCCCCTGGCGGCTGGGCGGCACTGGGGACCTTGCACCACCCGGGACAAAGCGCCCTTAAAACCTCCGTCCTCCGCCCATTGCCGGCGGCCGCATGGAGAGTCTGGATGCTGCAGGATCCGGGGCTGCACCTGGGAGCGTTCCCTACAGCGCAGGGGAAAGAAGGGCACATGGCAAGAGCTGGAGATCTGGCTAAACTGGCAACCAGAGCTCAGGCAGCAGCATCTGGCCAAGCGCACAGGGCTGGGCTCACGCCACCAACTGAACCCGGCCGTTAACTAATGGGAGCCTCGGGAGAAAAACCTGCGCAATTCCAGTAAATCCCCCCATCCCCTGGGAGGCCAGCGCCCCCCACAGCCACCCCGCTCTTACCAGGACCTCTCAGCTCCTCCGTGCCCCGTTCCCCGGCACCATCCCCGCTCCAAGGGCGGCTCTGCAGCGAGTGGAAACTTTGTGCCCCGCTTACCATGGAAAGAGGCTTCTGCTCGGGTCCTGCGGTGGCCTCTGAGCACCTAAGCTGTGACAAGCCGCACGTTACCCCGGGCTTAGCCGGCCAAGGTGCCTTATTATAAACCGCTGCTTAAAATGGCTCCGTGTGCGCTGAGCTGGATCAGGGCGGCTGGAGAGGCTTTGGGATCCGTAGCTGTATTTTTATACCTGTCTCACCTCCAGGCACCTCCCCAGTCCAAAGCCTCTCTCCAGGAGGGGAGGATGTTTCCAGCTCCCTTTTTTTATGCAGGTGAATCGGCAGGTCACATGGACCGGGGAAGTTGCTGTTCTTGGAAGGGCAATGGGTAAATTAAATAAGCTCCTGCTGTTGGGGGATTTGGGAGCTGGCTCTGCTGCACCTGGGACAGCTCAGCCTGGCCCCAGCTGGGGAGCTGCAAAATGCCCTGGAAACCTAAAGGCTTCCCTTGTCTTGCCCTTTAAAATCCGCTTTATGCCCCTTTGGAAGTCTGTGCATTTTGCAAGGGACGAGAGGAGCTGGGATGCCATTGGGATCTGGGAATTGGCCTTCAGATCAGCACAGCAAAGCGCCCTCTCTGCTTAAAGCAACCGTGCGGCAGAGGCCAAACTGTGCGTGCTCGGCGGGACCCCGAAACATCAAAGCAAGGAGCAGGGAAAGGGTCCTGCTCTTTCCCACGAGCTCCAAAGCTGCCGATCCCATCCTGCGGGACACGGGAGTACCCGGAGCGGCGGCTGGGCCGCCTGGCCACGTGCTGCCGCAGCCTGAGCTCCCGAGGGGCCGGGGCAGATTTAGGGTTTAGGGAGTTATCCGGGGAGGCGGGCGCCGCCGCTGAGCCGCTTGCAGAAGGCACGGACTGGCCGGACGCGCTGAGCCACGCGCTGCGATGGCGAGGGGGCTCCGGAGCGGGCGCCCTCCCCGGGCCTCCGTGCCCAGCTGGTCCCCCGCACCCTCTGGGCTTACGTGCAGGTGATTTCATGGGGGGATTTGGTGTTTTTTTACACGACTTTTGGCTGCTTTTTGGGGTTTTTGCAAAGCCCGCAGTTTCCACCAGGGGATGCCCCAGGCTGCGCTCCGGGCGCTGCCGCTATTCCCTGCGACGGGATTCCCAGTGCATCCCAGGGACTTGGCTGCGCCAAAGCAGACCCGGTCCGGAGGGAAGCGTTTCAGTTCGTGCGTGGCCAGAGCTCTGCCGGGAGAAGGACACATGGAGAGGGACGTGCTGGGAGCATCCGTCACCCCCGCCTTGCATGCACTAAATCACTGCTGCCACTCAGGAGCATCCAAGCGGCTGGGGAGGCCAGGAAGCGTTTGGGATAAAGCCCTCATCTTTCACCCCTCAGGCAGGCTCCGACTGGGAATGCCAAGCCCGGTGGTCCGGCCCGGGTCGCTCATCCCTCACCGCCCGGTCATCTCCATCACAAAACCCGGCCGCAATAACTCAGCGCGTGGGGGAAGGGGTGGGCAGTGATTTAAACCCTGCTCGGGCACCGCTCGCCCTGCCCCGCTCCGGAGCGGCCGTTTGTCCCCCTTCCTCCTTCCCTGACACCTTCCAGGCCGTTTTCCAGGCTGTTTTCCCATGCACATTCCCAGCAGGAGCTGGGCTGGCCAGATTTTTGGGAGGCCTCCGGCTCTCCAACTCGTCATCCAACTGCATCCAGGGCGGCACGAGCTCCCTGCCGGGCGGCTTTTCCCTCCTCTCCCTTTCATGCCTGGCTCCTAATGGGAAGCCCTCAGTCCCTGGTAGCACAGAGGCTCCCGGCCCTGCATTCCGTTTCTCTCCGAGCTGGGAAGCGGCTCCGCGCGAGGCTGAGCACAGCGGGACCCTGACCCTGGCACCCGCTAATTAGCCCCTGTCCCTCCAGGCTTGGTGCTGAGTGACCCCGGAGCAAGGGGACGCGCTGGGGACCCCAGGACATGGATGGACACTCCTGGGAGCAGTTGCTCCTGCTCCGGCATGGGGCTCCCTTGCTGCTCCCATCGGATGCTCCCAAAAAACCCATCCCATTGAGCACAGGGATCCCAGGATGGGCGCTGGAATGGGTGCCGGGAACACTGTGCTTTTTAATTCAGGACCTGCAGATTAAAAGCAATAAACACATCAGGAGGGAGAGCTTTCCTGATTAAATTGCAGGCCCCGGGATCAATCGCAATTTCTCTGGCTTTTTTTTTTTTTTTTTTCTCTGCGGTCAGGAAGGGAAACGCCGGGGATGGCGGAGGAAGAGGAAGGAGGGGGAGGAAATTAGACTTGCTAATCCCCCCGGCAGGGCCCTGCTGGAGCCGGCGCTGGCCCCATGTGTGCGAGGGGCGATGGGGGGGGTCCAGGGGGGTGCCCCCACTAATTGCCTTCCCGGCGCCGCAGCTGGTGCCGGGGCGGGAGCCCCGCGGCAAGGACGGGGCTGGCGCCGGAGCGGGGAGCCGCGCGGAGCCGCTCGCGGGGGCCCCGGGAGCCTCCTTCCCGCGGGAATTCCTGGCGGAGCCCCCGGAGCAAGCGGCCGCCCAGCACCCTGTAACCCGACTCCCCCATTCCTGGCATGTTTTACCCGGCCCGAGCATGTGGTGGGATTTTGTTTTGCCAACCTTTGCTTTTCCCAAAGGAGGGAATGAAAGGGCCAGTGTGCCGGCAATTTATTGTGCCTCCGGAGAGCCCCGTGGCTGCCGAAAAAGCAGATGCCTTCGGCTTAATCTGCCCTGTTGCTATGTAAACCTCCCTCCTGCTTTGATGTCCCCTATAAATACTCCATGTGTTTCCAATAAGCTGGCATTTTTATCACTGGAGCTGTTAAAGGCAGATCCGTGGTGGGTTTGTCCCTCGGCTTTAGGAAGCCGGGATGTGCGGGAAAGGCAGGAGAGCTCGGAGCAGCTCCCGCTTCCCGGGATAGCTGGGGGTTGGCAGCACTTGGGCGTCCAAGGAGGCTCTGGAAGAGCCCTTAGGGGATGCAACATCCATGCGGCATCGATCCCGAATGCCGACGTGTCCCAATAGGAGCCCCCCAAAGCCTGATAGGAGCCCCCCAGATGCCGCATCCAAGGCAGCCCTGGCTGGGCTGGGAATGGGGCCAGAAGGGCTTCTCCCAGCCCAAGCTCATCCTGAACCTCCGTGTCAGGAGCCTGGCTGATATATACCCTGGAAAGGGGGGGCGGCAGCGCCCCTATTCTTTATTTTGACAGGGCAATGAAAGTGTTATGTAGTCAGGACGCCCCCCTGCTGCGCCACCCCCCAGCCCTTTATCCGCCTCAAAGAGCCCGGGACCCTATTTAAGATTTAAGCCGAATTGGGCCCAGCCACAAAGAGCTGTGATTTATGAGGCCGGGACAACGCGGAGCCTCCCTGGGCAGGACGCCGCGGATCCGCTCGGAGCAGCCGCGTCCCCTGCGTGGGGAGCGTTGCGAGGCGGGAAGGCAGCGCTTCCCGGCATCCCGCTGGCGCTTCCCGGCATCCCGGTGCCTCCGGGAATTGCCGGTCGCTAGCGCTGCTGTGGTCTGGGTTTGGGGGCTGAACTAGCTCCACTCTGGGCTCACGGGATGTTGGGATGGGTGAAACCTGCAGGGTCTCCAAACCAAAGCGGATTCAGGACAGAAAAAGGGAGTCCTCCAACCCCGGACTTCCATCCTTGGCCGGGACACTCCTCTTCCCTGGCTTGTGGAGCTGGGAGCTTGCGAGGAGCCCAGAGGTTCCTCAACAGAGGTGTTCAAAGCGGCCGCACTGGTGCAAGCCCCGAGTTCATGTTTCATTGTGCGTTGATTTATCATCCCTTGAGTTAATTATTGACCTTAGCTTTGCCTTGGTCAATATTTACCTCCCCAGGTCAATAAATCTTGACGTTCACCTCAACAGAAGTCAATATCTGCTTAGTGTTTATCTATTCCCTCCGTTGCTAATTTTGCTGAAAGCTTTTATTTATCCCCGCCGAGCGTGCTTGCTCAGCGCAAGGCCCGCGCTGGAGCAAGCGGCTTGTCCGCATGGACCATCCATCCAAGGTCCATCCATGGACCATCCATACACCATCCATGGTCCATCTATGGACCACCCATGGACCATCCAAGGTCCATCCATGCACCATCCATGGTCTGTCCATGGACCATCCACGGTCCGTCTATGGACCATCCATGCACCATCCATGGACCATCCATCCATGCAAGGTCCAAGATGGACCATCACGGACACGGGTTGTGGTGGCCGTGTTCCTGCACGGACACAGCCTGCTGCTCTCCTTCCTCCTGCCGATGGGATACG